TTTTCAGAACACAAATGACAACCCTTGTTTTTCTCCACATTCCTACTTTAAGCCTATAATCTTCTTGTATCTCGATGAACTTGTGTTTACTGCAAGACAGCTTTATTCTTATTCTGTCTTACAGAATTCACATTACAGTGTGTTTCCTCCCCACTGTGGGAATGGGATGGGGTCAGAGCCAATCCCAGCTGTTCCGTAGAAAAGGGGTGTGGGGTAGTGTGTATGTGCTGGAGGTTTATCATCCTGGCACCTAAGTTTTGCTTTTCAAGCTCCAGTCTGTTTTGCTGATTTCAGTTAAAATGAAAGATTATGAAGGGGGCAGATTCTTGACCTCCAAGGTTTGGAGATTTTTGTGTGGTTAAAGGATAAGGAAGTATCCCATTGGGGAATGGTGCTTAAAGCACTTAACTGCCAAGCGAAAGGTTGGCAGTTTGAACCCATCCGCCTCTCCATGGGAGAAAGCTGTGGGATTCTGCTGCCATAAAGATTACAAACACTATAGGGCAGCTCCATTAGATCCCGTGGGCTTTCTGTGTGTTGGAATCAACTTTTTTCAGCAATGAGCTTGATTCAGTTTTGGTTTTGAAGGATGAGATTTCCCAATTTCTTTGACTCTTATTTACTTGATACGTTCACCTTAGGAGGGCAGACATAAGCTGTACAGGAGAATATCATTGACACTATGGAACAAGAAATAATCTCAAATACATTTGCATTCCTGATTTTCTTTTTTTAAAGGGAGTATAGGAAGCCACATTGATGCCAGGATCTACCTTTCACCTTCATGTAAAATATTCTGATGTTCTTTTTATGACAGAAGGTTTTTTTTCTGGAGAGATCTAAGATATCTTCACATAAAGGATAAGTCAGTAATTCCTGGATCCTGCCCTGCCTCTTCTTCCTCTAATCTATTACCTTCCCTTTTGCTATAGAGATAATTTCACCACATCAAGATTTCTGCCCTTTGATTTTCAGTTTAGACCTCCTCTGGTCAAGCAATGGGTGATAACTCCCATTTCTCTTAAAGGGGAAGAAACTGAGGTATGTTGAAGTTAGGTGAGTTGGTCCCACAGCTGTTTGATGAGAATCCCGGATGCCTTAGTGTTTGTTGTTTGCTGCCATAAGAATTGCCTTAGAGTCATGTGGCTCCACAGACAACAGGACGGAACACTACCTGGTCGTGTGCCATCCTGGGGTTATAGGTCAAACCACTGTGTGCTTCTGTTGGCTGATTTTCAGCAGTAGAGAAACAGGCTTTTCTTTATAGTCTGAGTCTGAAAGCTGTGCTGAAATCTTTTCAGCTTCCCAGCAGCGCACAGCCCACCACTGACAGGCACTTGGTGTGCCTGAGACACACCGTTCAGGACTTGAACCCAGGGCTCTTGCAGAGAAGACAAGAATTCTTCCACTAACCCAAAACTCGACAACAATATTCCGCCCTCGCCTTCCTCCTCACACCCTTGTCATTGAGAAAGCCTTGTAGTCCTTGTCATGTCTTTTCTTGGCTCACATATCCTGGCCTTGACAAAGCACAGGTTGGGAGCTTAGCTGGTAAGGTTGGGGGTCATAGGTAGAGGTAAGCGGGAGTAGTGAATGTCAGGTCAAGTGCGGCACAGGAAGGATGACACAGAGTCTAGATTGGATTTTTCTTCCTAAAGCTGGGATAATACCTTCTCTCCACAGAGTCAGGAGAATGGGCACAGTCACCATTTGGTTTTCCTTGTCAGATGTGGCCAGTGTTACTTGCAGGACCCAATGTAAGAGGATCCATCATCACATACTTGTGTGTGCAGCATTGTGTCTGGGGGCAGGGGGCATCTCATGCGGCTCCTGCCATCTTCACGTATTGAGACTCAGGGAGTGGCTTTCCTCAAAAGCCCACGCTAGAAACTTACCCCCTGTTTGTCAGTGGTTTCTCTTGAAAGTAATGAGCTTTCTGGAGAGGTCATGCAACATTACGTTTAAAGTCAGTGATTCTGTCTGCCTGGGTTTGAGTCCTGCCTCTCTCTGACATTGACCTTGAACAAGATATTATTTGTACCTAAGTTTGTTCTTCTGTCTGCTATAATTGTGGGGCTGTGGATTAAATGTGTTAATAAATGTAAAGAATTAAGAATAGTTCAGTGTTGCTAGGAGAGCAATTTTCTTCAGTTCTGCTCTCACTTAACTCATACATGCAGAAGCGGGTGGGGGGGCCACGGGGAGGGGGAGAGGAGAGAGAGAGAGAGACAGACTGTGTGTGTGTGTGTGTGTGTGTGTGTGTGTGTGTGTGTTTTCGTTTTCCTCTCTCTCCCCCCTGACAGTCACTTCTAGTGTCTGCTTTTCAGACTGCCTGCTGAGCCTCCCAGGCGACTGTAACCTCATCCAGGTTTTAGCTGTGGGCTCTGTCTGCATTTGACATGTGTTTCTAAGTATGGTGATGGCTCTTTTGTGGCGAGACCTCAATGTGCAGTATGTGCTCTCAGACACACATGCTCTGGGCCCCCCCACCTGAGGGCCTAGAAGCAGCTATGGGACTTAGCCAGGCCTTTCAGCAGAAAGAGAATGGTGACCAACTTGCCTTTCCCTCCAGTCCCCTAGTGCAGAAAATCAATAAAGCCCGCCTTCTGCCGCCTTCAGCCTGCACTGTGTTATTTGCAAGGCAAAAATGTTCACTCTCCCCGTATGCTGGGTGGCAATAGGTGCTCATCTCCCTGCCTTCTTGAGAGTGTGAAATGAAAGGAGTGAGTGAAGGGTGGGAGATTGTGTCTCTGCTTCCCGTTCAAGTTCAGAAATGCCATTTTTAGTGGGAGCAGCAACGTTCTGGTGTGTGATAGTGGCTTGACTTGTCGCTTGCGTGACTCTTAAGTCATCTGCCTGGACTAGAGACTGAAATCAAGTGAAACACAGCAAATGCTCTCTTCACCTGCTCTCGGGACTACTGCTCACCTTCGCATCCCCTCAGGAGCATGGCTCGAGTCAGGATGAGTTATATCCGATGAGTCCGGTTACTGCTTCTTGGCACACCCACTCACTTCAGCTCCCCTGTCTGAATTGTATTTGCTCACCAGGAGCCAGTTCTCGAGCCCATTTATACCACTTGTAGCTGTTATTGTAATCAAGTAGTGTGTTTAAAATATCAGGTAAACTGATAAATATGGCTGCAAAAGGAGTGGCTTCATTCTCCCCCAACCCCCTAGGAACACTTTCTTAAATTAAAGCTTGTTGGCACAATAAATCCAAGTCACAAAACAAAATTACTGATTGCAATAGTGATTGCATAGCATGATGAAAATTATCAATGTCATTGAAGTGTACATGTTAAAATTGTCACATTGGCAAGTATTCTGTTATATCAATATATAAAAACCACACGGTAGGAGATAGTCTGTCTTTCTCCAGCTGAGCAGCTGGTGGATTCAAACTGTGTACGTTTAAGCTGGCAGTAGAGCTTCTTAACACTAGGTCACCAGAGCTCCTAATATATACACACACACGTATGTATTTTTTTACCACATTTAAAATATTGCTATCACATGAGGTGAACATTAACGTTGGACAAAAATCATAAAAATTTTGGGGCGCTCTGGTGGCCTTGTGGTAAGGAGCTGCAACTACAATCCCAGAGGCACACAGTTTGAATCCACCAGATGCTCTGCCGGGGAAGGAGGGACAATCTCCTCCTGTACCAGTCAGATCTGATTTGACGGTACACTCACACAC